TTGCCAACGCTGATACATTGAGCCCCTTGTTCAACAAAGCTCCTTTCACTGAGTGTCCCCCGACAGCAGCAGAAACGAAACTTCTCCATCTCTCTCATCTCTGTCTGGCTCATTTAATGAGCCGAAATCACTGAGCTCCCCCCGCCCTTTTCCCTCTTACACTGGGAATCGGTTTCAACAGGATCCCCCCTGCACCCGTCCATTTGTTGATTAAAGTATATGTTGCTTTAAAATATTCCAGCTTTTCATTGTTTCGTTGGGACGTTCAAATCTCATCCTGGGAATACAGCTCTGATTAGCTAATGGAGCTCCTTGCGGAAAGGAGACCGGGGCGGAAACACTGATCCCCTGTTCGAGATGGATATCTGTAATCTGAAGACGTTCAAGTCTCAAGGACGCACAAAAGAGACACAGGGGTGTCTCATCCACCTGTCTGGGCAGCGAGAGCCAGCCACAGTTTCGGGCTCTTTTAGGCAGCTTATTCTCAAGCATAAACAAATCACAGTCCGGCCCCAAAGCCGGGATGCCCTTGCACGCCCTAGTGTGCCCTTATTACCTTCCAGAAGCCTGTACAGCCCTCTCCACCTCCCTCTTTCCTCTGGAAAGCTCTCATAAGTCTCCCCATTGGGCAGCACCCTAATCTAGGAGTCCTTTTCACCTGCCAACAAGCTTTGCTCCAGATGAGGGCTGCCTACTTTCTGGTGTTTCAGCAATTAGCAAGTCAGACAGCCCAGCTACAACTTACCAGTGAGTTCTGCTGGGAGATATCCTTCTCCTGCTAAACGAAGGCTGCTAATAGCTTCCTCACAAGCAAGCAACGTGTTAAAGCACATGCTGATCGTTCAAGCATAGTGCAAAGCTGGGGGGAGATGCATGACCTAAGAATGACCTATGATGCGGAGACAAGGTTCAGAGCTGTCTGCCGCAAGCACACCCCATGGCAGCATTTCTTGGGCATGGGAAAAAATGGTCAAACCTCATGTCTGTTTGAAGTTACTCCACATCAAAGCGCTCCCTACTGTTGCTCTGTTGTCTAATGCCGCTTATAACCATGCCCGGGGGGTGAAACCAGAGACTAGAACATCTCACACCTGGCATATGCAGAGGTGAAGCTTGCACGGTAGCACCGGGGAAAAGAGTATCTCACGTTGGCTTTCCCAAAAGGCAGACAAGCGGCAGGAATCAGAGGTATATTGCAGAGCCTGAGGACGGTTGATCCCAGTCACTCTGCCCCAGCTTTCACTTACTGAGATGAACGAGAAAACCCACCCAAATGACAACGAGGTCAAGTAGCTACAATGGAGAATAAGGAATTGGCCCATCCTAGGAATACACTGCACCTTCCAGCTGAGGAGTAGTTACTGAAGGGCGGTGATGGCGGGGCACAAAACAAGCCCTTTTCTTGTAGTTTCTTACTCCTTCTCGGGATACTTTTGAGGCACACTGGGCGTGTCTACACGTTCATTAATGTGCCATAGTTATTGGGCATTAAGTTTAGTACTTGGTTAACCAAGTACTACAGCAACGCGCAGCAACTCATGCTACTGCGCAGTAGCGCTGGCGCATGGGTTTTTAGTGATGTTTACTACACAGTAGCCCAATACTACTGCGCAGCAGTATATTAGCACAGTTTTTGCCTGACACGCTACTGCACAATGTCATCAGGCTACTGCACAGTTAGTATCTCATGTAGACGCACCCACTGAGTCTGGGCAGAGGAAGGGGTTTTGTTTTGGGAAAGTTCCCAAGTATCTGTCTTCCGCCAAAAGGACTGACTTGCCAG